TACAAATGTGTGGTTGTATTTTACAGTGGTTAGCACAGTTTAATAATGACAGTTAATACAGTTTCATGTATTATAAAAGGTATTAGACACATGATAAAAAATGATTGTATACAAACAGTATAAAAAAAAATAAAAATAAATAAAAATAAATGAAGGAGTTATTTTCAAGTATGATTGTCTTATGTTAAGTTAATATTATTTATTGTGGTAACATGTAGTTTTCCCAATATGTTACAATGATAGGAGATAGTATATAAGTATTAATTATAGTTTTCTATTTATTTATGTTTGAAAATTCAACATAAAACACAGACTCCCTAATACCTATTTATTTATTTGTTTATTTAAATTTTTTAAAAAGTAAATAATTTAATTTACTTTTTTATTTACTTTTTTTTTACTGATAATAAAAGAAGTACTTAATACTTGCAATAAGTAAATAATGTGAAACCAGAAATTTAGTCAGTATATTTATATGCTAGTTGACAGATAATAAGCTTATTCAATTTCTAATTTATTTCGACACTTTTTAAAAACGTTTATTTGATATTTTAAGAATATAATTTACTATAAAATATGTATTTTAAATTTAAATTGTTTTTATTTACTAAATATATGAAATACATATGGTACATTATAATTAGAAGCATGACTAAATATTAATTTGATAAATTTGGTTTAAAATAATTGTTGTATTATTTGTTTTTTAAATGTTTTCTAACCTTTTAGCCATTATTTCAATTAATCCGTTTTAATATGATTCATATTTTATAATTAACAATGGTTGTATAACCTGTGTTGAGAGTCTGATAATTTACGATACTGCTAGGTACTATAACGGTAAATCGGAATATTATTGTATTATACAAATAAAAATAAAAAAACCATAATTTTACATCTCTATTCCTACATTTTTTTAACATATACTAAACATATTACACTAAGATATGTGTTCTGTATTTATAATTTTTTTCGATCATCGATGTTTTAAGTGGAATCACACAGATACTGTACTTATCCACAATTATAATAGAAAATTACAAAATCTCAAAAATTCTTTAAATGGTCATGTATTTTGATAAGAAATAGATGTTAATTTTGTCTTAGTGGTTCGAACCTCAAGACTGTTTAACCCCCTTTCCACGATTCTAAGCTTATTTACATTAAACTAGTTAAAATAAAAACTAGTTATAAATTAAACTAGTTAAAAAATGAATAAACTAGTTATAACAGCTGTTATGGGGAAAAAAGCTTGATTTTGTTATGATATTATGAAAACGTTTCAAAAATATTTCTTATTTTTGTTGTAATTATTTATACACACACATACACACATATTGTATACGTATGACTTACATAAGGCAAATTAATCAAATTGCAATCTAGAATCGTATTATATGCGTTGCGATTATTCCAGAAACTCTGAATCAGTTCGCAAAACCGCTACTGATTTTTATGGTTCGAAATCGACGGGTTAAAATTAGTTTAGGTAGATTATGTTAAGTACATTTAAAAATGTACATATTAAAACATTTTATCATTAAATACTTTTTTTTTCAAATTTAAAGAATGAAGTATGAAATAAAAAATGTTCTAGTAATTTTTTAATACTTATTAACGATATTCATTTTTTTTTTTTTAATTTCCATCCATGCGCGCAAAAATCGTTTTTACCGGTGAAAAGTTTAACTAAAATAAAAACCGCTGAACGCACATACTATACGTTATAAAAATTAATTATTATGTAATTTTAGATTATCGTTATATAGTAGTGTATGTTGTTTTTAAAACTGTTGTACTGTGCAGTGTTGGGTTACACATGGGTGTAAATCGTGTTGGAGACGGATATTAATATTATTACATCGTTTCAAATAGTCCGTATTATATAGGTGCTGCAGTTAGCGTTAATAAGTTGAAAATGGTATTTTTTTTTCTGGCGCGATATTAACGGTGTCGCATGACGTTATTGCTGTGGGAATCTATAATGATATCCAAACACGTATTGTTTCCAATTTATACTCATAGGCCGAATCTTGAATTTGTGGATCGGATGGAGATTATTGAGAGAGAGAGAGAAGAGAACTCTGAATATGGAATCCCGTTAAAAAAAAAAAATTAAAAAACCATACAAGAGTGTTTGTATAAAGATTATTATAACGTTGAGAAAAAAAAAACGAAACGAAACGAAACAAAAACCGATTAAATCGGCAGTTCTTGCAGATTCACACACGGTATTATTGGCTAACACGTGGGTTTTTTCGATGGTGTTTTTTTTCCTTTGTTTTTATTACCGAACACCATGATCGATCGATAACAACTTGTCGAGATATCCGTCTTGCCAGTGTCGCGCCACCGGACGCTGTAGTCTCCAATTGATAAAATGTGTCTACTAATCACTAATCGCGAACTATTTGGTCTCACAAGCGGAAATGCTGGCGGAAAACTCTCGAACCCGCGGCGACCGCACAACAGTGTGTCTGAAGGTATCTTTAGTTTTTCGACGAGCATGGCACGACGTGTAATGTTTGGCATTACAGTACTGCCAAATTACGAATCGGTTCGCCCAAGTTGTTCTGTGTGGTGTGCTAACGTTTTGATTACAAATTGGAATAGATACCGATGGGATGCTTTTATACAAATGGGTTTTCACTTCCCCGTGTCTGCATGGTAGGCCCAAGCGTGCACAGTTTTTATTCGACCGGTTAGAGTAGTTATTTTTTTTTTCTACCGACCACCTAGTTGAAATACGTCAAACATACGTCAGGGGTTTGTACGCACTCTGTACGTATTCATATCACGAGAACGCGTAAGAAGTTTACGAAAAAGTACGTTCCCCTCGCATTAGATGAAATCGCCCCCGTGCATGGCTGTACGGTCAGAACGGAATGTGTCTGTTGAAATATTTTGCTCGGGACACGTTTGCTTTGGCGGTACTCGTTTCACGTGTTTTTCGCGTTTCCATCACGTTTCTCGATTAAAACGCATCCGACGAGCTGTAACGCTGCAACCGTAAGACAACGCACTCGCGACTGCTGTCCCTTCCCACCCCGACCACGATACATCTAAGACAGTAGTTTTAGCAATATGACATCAAGTGGGCGAAGTTTCTGATTTCACATACAATTTCGTTGTCAACATTGTGTCCGTGACAAATCGCGGAGGCGGTTCTTCCGACGATGATCGCGCCCGCGGATGCACCGTCGATCGATTCGAACGTGCGATGCGATTTGTTCTCCACGTGCACGCCGCACGACTGTTATTACCGCGTCTGCAGCCGTAAAGATCCGCCGGAACGCGAATATTTGTATTTTTTTTTTCTTTTTGCTTTCCTCTCTTTCAAATTTTTCTCCGTTTTCCCCGCTTTCGTCGCACATCACGCGCACGCGTTTACCATATCGCCGATGCGACCCGCGGCACCGGGTACGCGCGCACGTCATCGTTCTCTGTGTTATCGCGCGACTGCCTTTGACCCAGTGCCGCAATTGCACTTATTTGTGTCCCTCCTCCCTCCCCATGGGTCCGGTTAGAAACGTTGATGTACAACAATGTGTAGATAACAAAACCGATCAATTATCGTTCGATCTCCCATCAACAAATTTTTATTACAAAACGGTTTTATTCTCTCGTTTTCTATATATTTTTCTTCATATTTAATTATCGGACCCTATTATAGGCTAGGGCCATGGGCCCGTGCGTTTGTCACACGCAATACACTCGGATATCGCGTTACCCGTGCGTAGTGCCTACATGGGGTTACGACAGCCGCGCACGCGTTATCAACAACGCAGTGCAATGCGGTTGTACCGTTGCGTTTCGAAAATTGCGTAGCCGTGATGTCACGCCTTCGGCATGCAGGCGACGACTAGAAATCGCGCGCGTGTTCTTCGCATGGAATGCGTCGCTGCGGATCTCCGTCGTCCGTCTTCAGCTTGGCCCCTCGCACCGCGTACGTTTGGGTCGTGCGATATTGTTTCCGACGCGCGTTGTGTAGCAGTCCGAATCAAAAATCGTTACGTGATCGCCTACTTGCCAACAAATACGTTTCGATTTCACCGAAACGCGAACTTTCGTCGCGGCAATCGTACCGCACCGCTTCAAATCCCCTGGCGATCAAACGCGTGTTGCGCGTTCTTGATCCCTACGTTCCACGTCCGACTAGCATCGCTAACATTGGTTCCCGTCGAACTCTAGCCGTCCCGCAAACGCGCGTCACGTGCTGCGGAATGCGGTTGAACGCAGTAGAAAAATATTGAAAAGCGTACTCGTACAGGAAAAACAGCGCGAGAAACACATTTTAAACACGTCCCGCGATCGAAACAACCGCGCCGAGAAACAACGAAACACATTTGGACGTCGTACGGATCATATCTTCAATGGCTTTTGAAGTTTTCAGTAGGAATACGTTTTCCGCACCTTGTGCAAAACGTTATTGGTTTATTGTTATCCTAAAATGAAGAAATCTGATTTACCGTGCTTTTAATGTCGAGTTTACGGTCATTATAAACTATTCAAATACCTTTTTTTTTCTCCATAAAAATATTTTTAAAGTCACGGAATTTACGACACCGTAATTTTTAATGTACTTGCCGCCCTTCCGTGTCGTACTTTGTCATTACACAATTCAGGTCCCTTTTTTTCGAAAGTAAACCACAGCGTTTTCTTTTCACCATAGGCACCTATTCTTTTCACAGTTCCCTGAGGACGAAATGCTGCACGATTTTAATTTCAATAAATTACCCCGGTCTCGTTACTAACAATATCCCGTACACAAATGTTTCATAATCATGTCATAACCGAACTTGACACGTCGTTGCTCGCGGTCTTATCACAATAATATTTTCACGTCGACGATATTGATTTCCGTCGCGTACGACTCGTCGTATTATTTCATCGCGATCGAAGTCGAACAAGTGACGTGGATATACTCGGAGCTGGAAAAACTCCCGTTTCTCGCATCGTACAAGTTTGATAACAAGATGCTATTGTTTGTTTCCGTATAGTTGCTATCGGATATGGACACGCCGCAGTACAGTCTTCGGTGGAACAATCACCTGGTCCACATGATGGACGCCATCGAAGTCCTCCTGCAGAACGAAACGCTCGTGGACGTCACGTTGGTTTGCGAAAAGACCCAGTTCAAAGCCCACAAAGTCGTCTTATCCGCTTGCAGGTAACTTTTTACGTTTTCTCGTGCTCGACTTTCATCGCGGACGGAGAATTTTTGCCCCATATTTTTTCTTTTATCCGTTTCCACAACGATTCCCCTTCGTTTTAATTACATCGCCTTATTTTATTTCTTTTTTCCCCAGTCCGTATTTTCAAAGACTGTTCTCGGAGACGCCGTGCAAACATCCCGTGATCGTGCTCAAGGACCTTCCCGACTGGGAGATGAGAGCTATCATACACTTCATGTATAAAGGGGAGATTAACGTTGGCCAGGAACAATTGCCGCTGTTGCTGCAGGCCGCTGAAACGCTACAAGTACGTAAACATTATATTATACACTATTATTAGTGCTGTTAGGGCCCCCGGAGAAGACCCATACGCGTATTATGTCCGAATACAAATTATCGGACGCAAATTGTAATACTCTTCGCCGAATTGCATACGACCTTAATTTTTCGCGCTCCAAGTGATTCAACGTAACAATGCTGAAAGAGGATTACGTGTACCTACCTACCACTGTGTATAAGGGTCGTTTTTGATCAGTTTCGAATACAGGTAGATTTTGAACTGCACTTGAACCCTATCGTAAACCGTGCTAATATTGGCTCGCAACATTTATACTACACAATATAGTATTATGACGAAAAAAGTATAAACTACCCCGAGCTCGTTCTAATCTATCGAAATCTAAATACGACGAACTGCTAGTCCGTAACTACAATATTATGTACCAATTAAATTGTACGGCGAACGTAAGGTACGGAGCATCAAATATTTCCTACGACCGGCCATAACTAGTTTTAATCAATATCATCTGTGAACGTCTGTGATAGATGTCAATTTAAGTACATTATATTCAGAAATTTTACGTTTTCATATCGAACGAGAAAAATACATTTTCAAACATAACGTGTGTTATTTATTTGTACACAGTACGTTTTCAAACATCGAAACATATTAGCTTAACAACAGGGTTCGCCAAGATAATTCAAAGTAATGGATTATAGGTTAAAATAATTAATCTAACTGATTGTTTTATGATTAAAAAATAATATTTTAATTAAAATAATTTTAGTTTTGAAAACAACATAACAAATATATATACAGTATGAATTATTTTATTTGTGAATAAATAAATAAAAATAAATCGCGAATTATATTCGATTGGGTCCAATGAAATTGAAAATCATAACAATAAAATACTTATAACAGTGCAAATAACAAAAGTATAAGTAATTATAATAAAGATCATGGTAAGATAAACCACTAATTTATAATGATAACATTTACGGCTTAATTTTCGATAGCACATAATATATTATAAAACCTATCGAGTTCAATAATGTTATAGCTTCAAGTTATCTATGAAACATTTGAGTTGAACTAGATTATGTAGATTAATAAATAATGAATAATAAAATAATAAAAAAATTAATTAAAATTAAAAATTATTAAACGGTCAATGCTCATTAATTAATAAATAAAAACATTTTTGTTGCGATTTTATTATTTTTTTATTCAGTCACAATTTTATTGACTTAGTGTATACAGATAGTACTTTACAAATATAATTATATTTCAGGCTAAGCATTTATTTATTTCTATAAATAAATTATTATCTGTATATTTATTTATATATTAATAAACAA